TGCTGAACGTGGAGCTGGACTGATGTCTGGAATGAAGGGCTTTGGTCATCATCAGTCCTACAAATTGGGCTCTTTCTGGGCTCTCTGAGCTGGTGCTTGCTGCCCAGAAAAGGACTGTCCTGGGCTAATCAATCTCTGCATTAATGTCTAATTAAAAATAGACAGCTTTATGTTTTCCATCAAAATCAGTCAAAACAGCAATGAGCACCCAGGAACACAACCCTGTGCCTGTCTGTGACCACAGGACCCACCAGACATCCCCCATCAGCACAGCTGCAGCGACCTGGTCCCTTCAGTGTCCCACACACTGCCAGCAGCCAGGCTCACGCAGGGTTCCATCACATTTCCCCCTTTTTTCTACAGTCCTGAGATGTTCAGATGCCTGGGTCAGCTCTTTGGGATGCTTGTTCAGCTCTCTGGGCTTCACAACAGCTACAGGACAGAGCCCCTGGGTGTGTGTGGCATAGAGCTGACCCAGGCACGCAGAGTTGGACTGAGGCAGCCAAAGCTCTTCAGACCTCTTGTGTATGTCCTGAAAATTTGGCACTGCACGTGTTGGACATCTTGTGTGCCATAGAATCGTAGGATTGCTTGGGTTGGAAGAGACCTTTAAGGTCATCACGTCCAACCGTTCCCCAGCACTGCCAGGTCCCCACTGCCCCGTGTCCCTCACCCCACATCTCCACGGCTTGGAAACCCCTCCAGGGGTGGGGACTCCACCACTGCCCTGGGCAGCCTGGCACAGCCATGGACAACACTTTCAGGGAAGAAATTGTTCCTAATATCACCAAATCCCAGCATAGAAGGGATCAGAAGGGACCTCTGGAGATCATCTTGTCCAACCCCTCTGCTAAAGCAGGGTCACTGAGAGCAGGTTGCCCAGGATCACTTCCAGATGGGTTTTCTCTCCAGAGAAGGAGACTCCACAGCCTCTCTGGGCAGGCTCTTCCAGGGCTCCATCACTCTCAGAGTGAAGATGTTTTTCCTCCAATAAGTTTTTCTAGCATAAACCTTCTTTGGTGCAACTTGAGGCCGTTTCCTCTTGTCCTACCCAGTCTGCATGGCCCCTCACACGTGCACATCACGACTGTGACACACGTGTGGAGGCACCTACACGAGCAGAGGTCCCTGGGACCTTCCCACACACACCTGTGTGTGCACAAGAAGCTGGACCATGTACTTTGCTCACACAGCTTCCTGCAAGAAGAAGTCCAGGGGGTGTGTGGGCGTGTCTGGAACACCCCAGCACCCACGTGCCTCTTGAAATCTCCCACAGCACCTCGCAGACCTTCCTAGATAGACAAAGGTCCAAGATAGAGAGAAGCATTACCCATGCTGAAGCCCAAGGTGTCTTTCCAGACCCAGCCCCTCACTGTCAGGGATTCTGGTCCTCAGAGTGTGAGATGTCTCCCACGCAGGGATGGGTTTGGGGTCTCCTGGCAGAGCTATTCCCTGTGGGTAGAGCTTTCCCAGCCAGGGCTCTCCATTCGAGGCGTTTGGTTCCTCCACCCTTGGGGAGCTGTCTGTGACTTGGGGAGCTTCTGTGACTACTGTGTTTGTACTTGGCTTGAGGCTGTGCTGCTAACCTGCTCTCCCTCTCCCCTCTCCCTTCCTCCCCGGGCGGCAGAACTCCGAGGCGGTGGTGAAGGTGGACGTGGTAAGTGATGGATGAGCTCTGCAACCCTGCTCCCAACCCTTCGCTCCCCACCCAACCCTTCTGTGTGGCTTTCAGCAGACCATGTGTCCTCCCCAGCCCCGAGGCAGGTGAGGACCAGCACCCCTTCATCCCAAGGCAGAGACAGAGCAGTGCTGTCCCACCCATAGCTACAGCAGTGACCTGCTCTGTGCAGAGAAGCTCTTCTGAGCCCAGTTGTCCCAGGAGGAGGAGGGCAGATAGCTCCCTATGGGACAGATGTTGGTTATTCCCACCACAACCAGAATCCAGCTGCCAAAGGCTTTATTGCCCCACTGAGTGGACCCAGGGTGCTTTGCTGGGCAGAGGGAGGACGGCCACCGTGTCAGATTTGGGTGCTGTAGCCTGGGAAAACCATGGATGAAAGGGGTGATGGGAATGAAGGGATGTCCCAGGACTATGACACCACGTCCCTCTGGAGCCTTGGGCATCTTTGCTGCTCTGTGTCTCAGCTGTAAATGGGGGAAAGTGTTAATGAAGCCACCCAGCCTGGAGGGTTCTGCCTTCTCAGGTGCTTCACCCACCACCTTTGCACTTCAAGAGACATTTTCCTTTCATCTGATCCTCCTTCTTCTCTGTCTTTGCTCTCCTTGTCCCTGCAGACTGAGGAAGAGAAGGAGAAAAAGAAAAAGAAGAAGAAAGGAGGAGGAGGAGGAGGAGGAGAGGAAGTAGAAGAGGAGGAGCCAGACGAGAGCATGCTGGACTGGTGGTCCAAGTATTTTGCTTCAATTGAGACTATGAAGGAGGTGGGTGCAGAGCAGACCAGGGGCACGTGGCGGGGGGAAGGGGAAAATGAGGTCTCACTGATCTCCAGCTGCTTCTGAAGGGTGGGAGCTGTGCTGCTCCCCTCATTAATTTGCCCGACTGTAGGTAGGGCTTTTTTTCACCTGGCAGAGCTGAGCAGGATTCCTCTTCCTCGAGCTGCACTCTGGGTGGATGTGGTGACTGATTGGTACTCGGGTATTTAACAGCATATGGGCTCTTGGATTCCTGCTCAGTGCAGAGGGTTGGACCAGGTGACCTTTCAAGGTCCCTTCCCACCCAAAGCAGGCTGTGAGTCTGTGACTTCTCCAGCACTTCCAGGTCCTCACCCACAGCTCAGACAGCAAGAACGAGCTGTGACCTTGAGTTGGACATTCCCAGGGAGCACAGAGACCTCAGCAGGAGCACCCACTCCCCGTTCCCTTCCTTTCTCCCCCAGCAACTCCGGCAGCAGGAAGCAGCCGCAGCAGAAGCAGAGGAGAAGGAAGACATGGAGCTTGCAGAGGGTAAGCAGCTCGTGAACGTGAGAGGGAGCATGTCAGGGAAAGGGAAGACCAAGACACAGTTAGGCGGGTGTGTTGAGCTGCTTGAAGGTAGGGAGAAGGTCAACAGAGGGACCTGGCCAGGCTGGATGGATGGGACGAAGCCAATGGGATGAGGTTCAACCAGGCCCAGGGCTGGGTCCTGCCCTTGGGTCCCAACAACCCCCTGCAGAGCTCCAGGCTGGGGCAGAGGGGCTGGAAAGTGCCCCAGGGAAAGGACCTGGGGGGTTGGTGGACAGGGGCTGGAGAGGAGGCAGCGTGTGCCCAGGGGGCCAAGGAGGCCACCAGCATCCTGGCTTGGGTCAGCACTGGTGTGGCCAGCAGGAGCAGGGCAGGGATTGTCCCCCTGCACTCAGCACTGAGGGGAGGGCACCCCTCCAATTCTGGGGTCAGTTTTGGCCCTTGAGGGGCTGGAGCGTGGCCAGAGAAGGGCAACGGAGCTGCTGGGGAAGGGGCTAGAGCCCAAGCGCGGGGAGGCGCGGCCAG